TAGTCATCACCTAAGAGTCCTACATACTAGCTATAAAGTATTGCCTATGGTCAGTTCACCATAGGCAACTTATAAGCATCACCCCAGGAATGAAACCACAAAGAGAGAGAAGAGAAAACGAGAAGACACTTAAGCAAAATGCAACCTCAGACATCCAGTTCACCAAAGGCAAATCCAGGGGACAATGAGGTAGAAGAATTCAAAAGCCCACACCAGGTTTCTCTGAAGTGGAAACAACAAAGTAATTGAATGAAGCTCTGGAAAAAATGAAATCAGAAATAATCTCTCAGATAACTACAGAGATTAATATAATACACATTAAGCTTAACAACATAAAGGCAAATAAGATGAAAAAACAAACAAGCTAAAGAAAATTATGGATGCTCTGCATAAGAAACAAATAGAATCCATAATATGCAAGCAGGTATTTAGGAAAATAAAAACTCTACTGAAAGTATTCAAAGCAGAGTAGGCCAGTGTGAAGACAGGATCTCAGATATTGAAGACAGGCTTCCAGTTGGCGACCAAGAAAAGAAAGCCCTTGACACATTAGCTTCTTATCACCACAATGTTAACTTGTGAGCCTCAAGGAAAAAGGACCTTTTGCTGTGGAAGCTCTAGAATGGGGGAAACCCCTTCCCATCATTTCTCCAAGTAGGGAGAAAAGCAAAAGGTCACTGCTTCACACGGAAACTCACCCTCTCAAAAGTGCCATCAAAAACTATTGCATAACATTAGTCCTGAGCTTTACATAGTTGAATTGGCTGAATAAAATAAGAAAAAGCTTAAAATCTAGAGCTACTATGTCAATTTATTACTTTCATCATCCTTTGGTATTAACTGTTGTTATTTATAAAAGCAAATAAAAGTTTACTAAATATAACAGGACAACAGTGTAAGCAAGGCCAGGAATACAGAATTTATAGATTTCAGAGAAATAACAAAAAACATGCAAATAAGAAAGTATTCATTAACACCTTAAATGAGATTAGTATTAATTCTTTTTGTACCACAATCTTACACCAAATTAAAATTACTGCAATACATTACTTCTATAAAAACAAATTTCAAAACTCATACCACTAAACTTATTTATCTATTACCAAATCTGTGAAAATTAAGACTACTGAATTAATTTTAGACAATGGATACTTGGTACCAAAATTGTGACCAAAACCTGAATTCTTATTAATAACTAATAAATGGGGTATAGGAAAATCATACATTGTTTCATTAATTGTATCCAATTATCTCTGTTTTGTAAATGATGACTCTAATCAAGTTTAGGTATAGAATCCTACGGAATTCCAGTTTTAATATGATTCAGTCTTTTTTCCTCAGATACTGGCTACATTAATCTCTTCATATACAAAAAAATTACTGGGTAAGTTAAAACACTCTTGCTTGATCAAAGTTCTGTGCAGAATATCAAGATAATCAAGTAGATGACAAGGACAGTAACTGAGATGCAAGCTAAAAGCCAGATGTGAGCTAATATAATCACAACACAAGTAAAGAGCAGGGCACGGTGGCACACATTTGTAATCCCAGCACTTGGTAGACTCAGGCAAGAGGATCACTGAAAATCCAAGGCCCGCCTACACAGTGAGTTCAAAGCTAGTCTAAACTATATAGCAAGCCCTTATTTCAAAAATCCAACAAGAACTGAGGACTTCGTGAATGTTTTCTACATAAATGAAGAGCAGCATGGAAAACAAACCTAGACATTTTTTAATATAACAAAAGTTGTACGTGGTACTGCTCTTATGTCAATTCACTTACCCACACATGTCAAATGAAGGCATATGTAATTATGATGCTATCAGATTTTAGATTTAATCCCTCAGTAAAGTTTCCCTTCAATTAAATTCTCAATAAAGCGGGCAATAATAGCAAAAGGGTATTATAATTTAGTTTATTAACAATGGTTCCAGCCAGATAAATGAAAAGTTAATCAGGAAGACTAGAATGTACACTCATAAACAGAACATTTTGATATTTTAATATTTTTTCTAGAAGCCAACAACAGTATTTTCCAATTACTGTCTTACCGAAAATCTAACTTACTAATTAAGAATACATTTAGTCCAATTAACAGTATTCCTAGTGTGGGCTCGGGATATAGCTCAGCGGCACAGTGCCTTCCTAGAGAGCATGAGGTTGTGAGTTGAATCCCTGAACAAAAAAAAAAAAAAAAAAAAACAAACAAACAAACAAACAGTACTCCCACAGAGAAAGAGATAGCTCATGTTTGAGATTCACCAAAAAAGTGCACTTCAAAGAGCAATGTTTTTCTATTCCTCAGACAGAAGACTAATATTTAGTAAAGAACTCAAAAAACTTAAGAGCCCTGAAAAAAAAACCCAATCAAAAAATAGGCTAGAGAAATGAATACACATTTCACAGGAAATACAGTAGTCAATAAATACGTGAAAAAGAGGTTCAGTATCTCTGTCCATTAGAGAAAAGCAAATTAAAACAACAATGAGATTCCATCCTATTCCAGAAAGCATATAGTGGTTGAATAAAGTAATCAACCACTATATACAACCACTACGGAAATCAGCAGGGAGATTCCTCAAAAAACTGAAACTAGAAATGCTGTTCAACCCAGCTATTCCCCTTCTAGATATCTTCCCAAAAGAGTTAAAAACATATTTCAGTGATACGTGCATACCCATGTTCATAACAGCACAATTCACAAGAGTTAAATCTTGGAAGCAGCCTCTATATCCATCAACAGATGAATGGATAAATGCAGTATTTACATACAATGGAGTACTACTCTATCCTAAAGATAAATTTGAGTTATTTGTAGAAAAATGGATGTACCTTGAGACCATAATCTGAAGTGAAATAAATAAAACAAACAGCTTAAGTATCACATGGTTTCTCTAATACGAGAAGCCTAAATTATAAAGGAAAAAAAGATAGTAAGAAATAGGGAGATACAGTAGATCTCCTTCAAACGTGAAGGGGAGCAAGAGATTAGAAGGGGAAGAGAGGGGAGGAAAGGAGATGGATGGGAAAAAGAAGAGACATCTTCTATACTTGCACCAACTCCACACAGGGCATGCAAACATCAGGTCCTGCAAATATTTATTAAGAATTTTTACTTTAAAAAAAAAAGAGGAAAGAAAGCAAAAATCTAAATATGTTAGCTCATGCTTGTGACCAAGGACTACCGTACACCACAATGCTTCATCTCTACTTTTGTTTTACAGCATGATTGTTTATACATCTGTTTTGTTTTCTTTTGTTTTTGGCTTATCCCGTTTGGGTTTATCGAACTTCTACAAATCTGTAAATGTGATTCTTTAATGTTGGGAAGTCTTGGACCATTAATAATTTACTTGTCTTTTCTGTGCTTGTTTTCTCTTCTCCTGGACTTAAATGTGAGTATCAGACCTTTGGATCCCGTCCCTAGGGTTTCTTAAGCTCTGTTTTTCTGGTTTTCCAATCTGATCTTGATTCTCTCTGCTCTCTGTGAACATTTTCTGTAGGTGCACCTTTAGGCTACCCAACTCCTGCCTCTGTTGCCTCTATCTGCTTTGGAGTCCGCATAGTACGTTTTAGAGTTTTTATGGCTTATGTTCCCCATACAGCCTCACGTGGTTACAGTGGGTCTTGGTGAAGGTGCCTGGCTCTAAGGTATGTGATGATCAAGTTCAGGATATACTGTGAGGACTAAGGTGCCCCAGCCTGGATGTAGGTGGCACAAATCGACAGGATTCCAACCTGAATATAATAAAAAAGACAGGTGGGCTTTCTACTTCTGCTTCAATACTCTGCTGCACTGCTGCCTTCTGCCTGGTCATTTCCACTCTAGATGGACCAAACAATGTATATCATCATGAGTTTTTCTGTTTATCTTTTTTTAACTAATACTTTAGCATTAACAGAGATACTTAAGTTTTACCACACAAAAAAAGGCATGTGGGACTAAAACACCATATTAAGCCACACAGGAAATACTTCCCAGAATCAATAAATGGGATCATGTCTTTTATTAAAGAGTTTTTGCATGTCAAAAGAAATCTCTGGCATAGTGAAAATAAAAGCCACAATTGGGAAAAAATCTTAGTGAACTTTCCCTCAGACAAAAGTTTTCTGTCTAAACATACAAAGAATTAAAAAAAAAAAAAATCATACCCCCAAAGATTCAAAGACTCCATTCAAAAATGGGCATCTGAAATAAATACAGTTCTCTGGTGAAGACATACAAATTGCAAATAAATTCATGAAAAAAATGTTCATCATCATTAGTCATTAGAGAAATACAAATTAAAACAACACTGAGATTCCGTTTCACTCCAGAAAGAATGGCCAGGATCAAAAAAACTACCAACAACAAATGCTGGAGAGGCTGTGGGGAAAAGGAATTCTCCTGCACTGTTGGTGGGAGTGTAGACTGGTGCAACCACTGTGGAGGACAGTCTGGATATTCCTCAAAAAGCTGGGATTGGAAGTCCCATTTGTTCCAGCTATTCAACTTCTGGGCATATTCCCAGAAGAACTGAAAACATCATACCACAGTGATATATGTGCACCCATGTTTATAGCAGCACAATTTGTAATAGAGCCAGACCTTGGAAACAAACTAAGTGCCCATCAACTGGGGAATAGATAAAAAAGCTGTGGTATTTTTATACAATGGAGTACTACTCAGCTATAAAGAATGATCACATTGAGATATTTACAAATAAATGGACACAACTTGAGACCATACGCATAAGCAAAATAAATCAAATTCACATGTATAAATACTATATAGCCTTCCTAGTGTAAGAAATGGTAAGAGTTCATGAGATTATATGGTAATCATGGTTCTCCATTACAAAGCTTTGAAGCCTTATAATGTTTTCATTAATTAGTTGGAATGGTTTTATTCTGTTTTGTTTGATTTTATTATCTGTGATGGTATGAACGGGTACTTTGAAGAAAACAAGACATTATAGCAGCCATTGCTGATTTAATATCATCTTGCTTTGAAGTCCTACCATGCTTTTGTTCTGTTTCCATTGGTTTCCATTGTTTCCATCTGTTTCCACTGGTTTTCTTCTGTTTCCATTGGTTTTATCACGTTGTATCTTATTGGATTTTAATATATGTGATAGAATAAACAAAATTTTTATGCAAAATGAGATAATATAGTAGCCATTGTTCATTTTCTGTTATTTAGTTCTGAATGCCTCGTAATACTCTCATTCTCTTGAATGGTTTTCTACTATTTTATGTTTGATATTACTGTATGTGAAGGTATGCTCAACTATTTCAAAGAAAGAGACATTATAGTAGCTGTTAATATTCAGTTGTCTTGTTGTACAGTGCTGTGTTGTGCTGTTCTGATCCGCTTGGTTCTGTCCTCTTTTGTTTTATTCTCTTTAAAATAAAAAAATGTATATCACCATATTGAAAAAATATGAAATATAGCAAAATACCTACTCTTTTTGGAAAGCCATGCACATAGGAGAACTGAATCCAAAGACCAGGCATATCTGGGCGTCTGGGCTGTAACCATTCTGGAGAAGTAATTCTAAGCACTTTTCATGTCCTCCAAATACTGCTGAGTAAACAGGACTTACTTTGTCTGGTCCAGTTTCACAGATCCGATTAGTAAGTGGTATTAATAAGTCCAAGATTCTACAAATATATAATTCAGAAGCATTTAACATTTCCACACATATATATTAATGCATAAGCAATTAATGTAAAATATATAAATGTACAGGCAATGTTTCAATTGAACATATTTTAAGAATTACCCATAAACTGATTGAATGAAGTCTTTCTGCCACCCTCTTGATAGTTTAAGACAAAATAAAACAAAATTTCATAACAAAATAATAGAATAACAATAATTAATATACTTTATATCATTATCTTCAAAGTAGTTGCTCAGAATAGAAGACATAAACCAGAAGAGTCACACAAAAAAGGAACAGATAACACAAAACTCTCTTTGCTCTCTACTAAATAACTACATACTACATAGTTATTCCAAAATTGTACATTGCTTAACACAAAGGTTCTTAAATATACCCAAACAGAAGTAATGTTTCTATTAAGTCATACTTTCTTTTTGAAATTTTTTCACTATTTGCCTTACCATCAACTACACTTCAAAACTCAAATTTTATGTAGATACTTTAGGACTTAATGGATTATTTAAATATTTCTTCTACTAGATAAAAACTGGCATCGTAAAAAATGAAGTATTTTCTTCTTCAAGTGCCAATTACTATTATTTTTCCAACTAATAAAAATTTTTAAAGGTGGTAAATAACACTAAGAAAAACATTTTCAGCCAGGCATGGTGATGCATGCTTATACTCCCAGCTGGCCTACACATGAGTTTGCGGCTAGCCTGACCTACATAGTAAGAAACTGTCTCAAAAAACCAAAAATATATATAGTAACAACAATAATCCTAACAAATAACGTTTTCACCAGCAGAATTAAAATTTCAGCTGTAATATTATATTCTCTAAAAAGAATATAAGCACATTAAATTAGGAACTATATTTATAAAGAAGCTGTTTAATAGAGAAAGTTCTAAAGAAAATCATTAAAATGTAAGTTCTTACATTGTAAATAGAGAAAGGGTAATTCACTGTTCTAAAATTGAAAATAAAACTATGATGATTAAGCCAGGAAATTTTCCTCCTTCTGAGGAAACACACAGGGACACTCCAGCTATCTTTATAACATTACTCTTTGTTACTTTTCTTATGTAAAGTAGACCACATATTCAAGAACTTGTATTCACATAATGGATTACTGTTAAAAGATAATATGGGGGAAATCAGAAGTGGCAAATAGATTTCTCAACACTGAACACACAAAGACAAATTTCTACGACAGTTCTGGCATTAATTTAAAACTCAAGAGTATAATTGTCATTTAAGATTTATGTTTCCATAAATGACCAAGAATTGGGAAAAATACATTTTAAAACCTCAGTATTTTGTTAAAAGAATCTATTTAACATCTCTTAAATTTAATAAAAAATGTTTAATTTTTTTTAAATAAGTTAGAAAAATTTGTAATCTCTCACAAGACACATGCTTATAAATATCTTCAGGATACAGTGAAACACTATGCCACCCAGTGGTATAATAACCAAACTGTAGAATCTGTTTTCCTAATATGTAAACACATTAAATAATGACTATCCTTATTTTTTAAATTAAATAACACTAACAATGCCTATAAAAAGTATGACTGCAGAATTACAATTAAAGATGGTATAAACATTTTTTAAGACTTTCCAGTGTTAATGTATAATAGGCAGTCATACTTTCATAGGCATAACCTGGTTATCTGTTTCAAAGATTCCTATAATACCTCTCCCATTTTCTCTGTCTCCAGAAAACATCAATAATTTTATGGAAACTTTTTTGGTGAAGAAGAGTAGCAGATGCAGGGGATTTGGAATTACATAAAGAAAGGTCCACTAACAGGGTTCAAGACTACTCAGCACAAACAAAAGAAAAACTCCATTTTAATAAGGGTCACAAACAAAAACAGTCTGGGGTCAGGGAGACAGTGTGAGTAAATGACTAGCCATCAGACTGCTAGCTGCAGATGCCTGGGATAAAACTAGCGGGATGGGGCAGGAGGCTAATAGTTATAACCAGAGAAATCAGAGGGAAGATTCACTATCTTGAGGAAGCTCTTGCAGGCTGCTCAACTCTAGCCACTCTTGTCTCAATATAGCAAAGCACAGTGTAAGATTAAGCAGGGCTAATGACAGCACAGGAGACAAACTAGAAACAAATCTAGTCACCCAGCAGATTGGTTAAGGAAGGAAGTACCAAAGGTTTTGCTTGGATATAAAAGATCTGGTCCAGATTTATTACTGGCTTTTAATAATAAGACCATTTTTATTGTTTTCACACTTACTTTGTATGGCCCATTTGTGCAGCTGCATGAATAGGTAACTGCCAACTGTCCTCATTACAGTAGAGATTCGGATCTGCCCCACCAGACAGCAAAAGCTCCACACATTTTGTATGACCTTCTTGAGAGGCAATGAACAAGGGAGTAGCTTTATCCAAGGCCTGACAATTGACATTTGCACCTAACAAAAGGAAGTAATTAAACACACAGTCTTGCTTGCTTTTTTAAAAAGATTAACTTTCAAAAAAGATTAATCATAAAATAGCTCCATGGTAAAACAGCTTTTCCCCATCAGTGGATGTTGTCCAATAAGCATACTTATTTTATTAAGCTAGAATCTATGAATAAAATTTTATTTTATTAAGTTAGAATCTATTCAGAAATTCCAAAAATGTTACACAATTAGAATCCTTTTGATTTATAATAAATGGGACCTTTATCTGCAGTTAGCTTCAGAAACTGTTTTTTAAATTAACATTCCACTTTAGTAGGAACCAATCCCTGGAAGACTACTGGTGGAAAAGCATCTAAATAACAGACATTTCCCTAGAAGTCTTCCTGACTTCTAGGGAAGGGGTGGAAACATATAGTTACACTGTAACATACCTTTTCCATTTCCTAATTTAACATTTCAGAGAAGACAGAAGAAAAGAAGAACAGAAAACAGAACAGATACTTAAGAGTTCCAAGTGATAAGAGATAGAGCTGGCACAAGAAAAGAGCTATTAAAAAGATCTCAACAGAAATGAGGCAGAGAAGATTGGATGGTAGGAACAGCTGTTTTGGAGAAAACAAGACATTATAATAGCTAGTGCTGATTTAGTATCATCTTGTTTTGAAGTCCCATCAAGCTTTTATTCTTCTGTCTCCACTGGTCTTAACAGGTTGTATCTTAGTGGATTTTATCATCTGTGATAATATAAGCAAAAACTTTTATAGACAAGGAGATTATACAGAAATCACTGCTCAATTTCTGATATTGGTTCTAAATACCCTGTAATACTGTCATTCTCTTGAATGGTTTTACATTGTCTTGATATGTTTGATGCTACAGTATACAAAGTTATACTCAAAGATTTCCAGGAAAGAGACACTATGGTAACTACTTTTATGTCAGGATATCTTGTGGTGAAACACTATTTTGCTTAAATGGTTATGTTTTGACCTGCGCTGTTTTGTTGTTATGCCCTCTTTTATGTCAATCTCCTTTTTTAAATTATTTACTTTTTTATTTTTATCTTTTTAATTAAGGGAAAAATAAATAAAAAATAGCAGGATACATTATAGTAACCCACTTTGATTTCCTATTAATTTGATTTGAAACCCTGTATTGCTCTCACCATCTTGTTTTGACTGATTTTCCCCTATTCTGCTTTGCTTGATAGTACCAAGTTTGAAAGTATAGGCAACAACTGTGAAGACAGTAAGATTTATTATGACATCCATTCTGGTTGACTATTATCTTCTTTTAAAGTCCTGTAATGTCTCCAATGTTTTGGTTTTATTCTTTACTGTTTTGTTCAATTTTATTATAACTGATGATATAGGCAATTCTTTTTAAGATAGCAAGAGGCAGTATGGTAACCATTGTTGATCACCTTGTATTTTGTTTTTACATTATCTATTATGTCCATCCTTTTGATTTGACTGACTCTGTTCTGTTATGTCACATTTGGTTTTACTCTCTTCAAAAAAAAAAGTACTAAGAACTGTGGGAATAATAAAACCCAAAATGTGTAATTGTCATTGTACAAAAGAAAGGAAAAGAAAGTTCTCTAAAGGATATAACTGCATATATATTTAAGTGTATAAGATAGATAACCATATTACTGAGTTTTGTTGGATCATTGAACAAAACTGTTTGCAGTCTCACTGTTTGAAAGTCCACTTTATATGCTTCAATTTTGTAACTTGAACAACTATTTCTAAGATAACAATATGTAATCTATTAACTAGTGATTTCCTACTGCTTATTCTTTCTGAAATTCTGTATAACTTGTACCTTTTCTATTTTTTCTTTTTCTCCTTAAATAAAATTTTTTTAAAAAGGGCTATTAATAACTAGATCATATGGGACTAGAAGTAATAAACTATCCTAATTCAGTTTTTTTTTCAGTGAAATGTCTGTTATGTTTTCCACGTGTAAGATGTAATAAAAGAAACATCAAAAGTCAGAAGGTCCCAGTCTAATCACTGATTGTGTTAAGAAATACTTTTTACATCCTTGCCAACGCACTTATACACTCAGGGCCAGGGATTCTTAATCTAAAAAACACGTGTTTGAACAAATGATTGTGGAGATTGCTCTCAACTCGTAAGATTTATACAATCATTATTTACACAAGACACCTTAACAAGATACTTAGTAAATGTTTGTTTCTTTTATTTCCTACTTTAACTATATGAAGATTTGCAAGGGAAAAACCCAAATAAAAAAATGTATATTCAGGTATCTGAGCTTTGTTTGTTTGTTCATTTTTTTCTATTTGGAGGGTGGTAGTGTTGTTTTGAGACAGGGTCTCGCTGTGTAGTTCAGGCTAGTCTTGAACTCATTATGTAGCCCAGGCTGTCCTTGAATGCATAATGATCCTCTACATTTGCCTCCCAAGTCCTGGGACTACAGGAGTGCATCAATACACCCAGCTATTCAGAGGTAATTTTTAAAAATTACGTAATGAAAAAAATTGCCTGACAACAAACAGGCAATATTTCTCTGTGTTATCCATATGCTTCATGAGGATAGCACTGAAAGGGCGTACGCTTCCGTTGTGAGGGCATACACTTTGTGAGAAACTGTAAAGCCCCTAATATAATAAAGTAAAAATGCCATCTTCTCTGGCAATCTCAAATGTATAATGGCTGTCACAAAAAATCTTTAGTTGGCTTACTTTGCTATCAACATAATAAAGTGTAAATTTGCTTTGAAACAGTTATCAGAGCATGATCAAAGAATTAAGATACACAACAGTCATATAATAAATTAGTTCAGCCTAAACTAGTGTTGTACCCTAGAATGTTAGAACCACTTGGATTCCTATAGCAAAAGACAGCCCAATCGTTGAACCCTGCCAATAAATCTACCTCAACTATAGATTATGTCCCTACTAAGATAAATTACTAGGTGTACACTGCACTGTTAGTATTAGACACTTAATTGTGAAGCTTATAAATCAACATGTACATACTCTTTTTATTATCTACATAAAGCCATAAATTTTACAATCTAATTTGTATTTGAGAATATTGTTTCTAGGAAGACAAAACATGATGATCTTAACAGTACAAAGGCTAATGGATTAATCTTACCTGATGAAATAAGTATGTTCAAGCTTTCTAGCTTCCCATACTGAGCAGCCAAAAACAAAGGTGTGATTCCAAAGTCATCTTGGCATTCCTTATTTGCTCCTTTTTTAAGAAGTAATTTTATGATGTCAACATTCTCCTGAAGTACAGATTTCATATTTTAAAGAAGAGGTAACAAATGAATGTATCTTATAGTCGTTTTTCTTATCCTCTTGGTTAAAGGAAACATGAAGAAAAACAGTGTATTGTTGTACTGGTTGAGAAGGAAGTACTCAAACAAATCAGATCATTCTAACTCTCTAGCTACCCTAGTAAACATAAACAGATTAAAAACTCATCTCTAGAATTATAACCCTTGTAAAATTCTGCAAAATTAAGGTACTAACCCAAGTACAAAGGCGGTATCACAGTTTCTAAACACTACTAAGTGATTTATATTTATCAATTTATATCTCACATATTCTAATGACTTAAATATACTATCAACACTAGAAAAAGTTAGGTAATCCCTATAGCCTTGTTTTCACAGCTACTGGAACAGTCAGCCTTTTCAGAACGATCACTAGCATTTAGACTATCTTTTCTGTACTGCAAACAATCATAAATCACAGGCAAGTAGGAAGCGAAAACTGTACAGAACTGTCATTTTTAAGGGTAAAACATGTAATTTACATAGAAAAAAAAATAAATTCAGAGATTACCTGGAAAGAAGCCTGGTGCAAGGAGTTCCATCCACACATAGAATGGGATCCATTAACATTTGCTCCATGTTGAAGCAACAGCCTTAACACATCTATGTGTCCATTTTCAACAGCTGCAATATAGTAAGTCAGAAAAACTGTCAGCAAAAAAAGTACGTTTGTAGGACTAGACACTTCGGTGATGTCCTCATTACTTATTCACCTTGGAATTCACAATGCTGTGATCATTCCTAAACACTTAATAAAATTGTCAGCCTAAGCCACTTATACATACCTAATCCTTTCTGTACAGATACAAAATTATTTTTATAGAGAAATCATAAGCAAGAGGCATTTATTCTCTCTGATAACAAAGGCAACATGGTTCCAGTTTGCTAAAAGGAGATAGGGCAGACAGTGAGAAGAGACACAGCTTTAAGCTGCAGAAAATCTCAAAAAGGTTGAAAGGTCTGCTATCATTACCATATGACCACAAATGACAGAAGAGTCCTGAACAAAGTGCAAGAATAATTTCTGTACATTGGATATTTTTATACCATCATAAACAATAATCAGTTAACATGATCTTATAGTCAAAAATAAAAACATAGTGAAAGAGGACTCCATGTAAATTGAAGACTGATAGTAAAAAAGTACAAATTACTTAGTTATAATAACTGAAACAAATGATTCCTAGCTTGCTGCAATAGTAGACTCTCTGAAGGAAAACTGCTTGTTTACAGATACCCAAAAAAGCTACACGCAAGCTATTCTACTGTCTTTTACATATATAACTTAAGCTATGTTTAGTCTAATACCATGCACACATAACAATAAATCTTATCTTGTAAGAATGAACATAGGTGTAATCTGACAGAACATATTAATGACTGGAATCAAAATGTAAGTGGGACTGAACTTTCCAGGATATACCTTACATAAAACTTCGCAGTGGCAATTATTTCAGGTACATTTAAAGACTGAGTCAGTAAAAACGCAGAGGAGACCCTGGGAAGATGGCACTTTGATAGGTAGCGTGGTAGAAAAACAACTCAGACACTGGACTATAATACCATGGAGAAGACCAGATAAAAGGAAAGGGATTCTCACAACCCAGGAAGAAACTGAGGAAAGAAAAGACAGAAAGAGAGAAAGAAAAAGAAAAGAAGAAAAAAACGTGGACAGACGGCTGGAGCAACACGTGCTCTCACCACAGACAGTCTCGCACTGTGCTGGGTACCTTGGAGTCTGAGGACTCACGGTCCTGCTAAAGTCATGGTCATACAGAAATCGCAGGTTGGTGAGCCCAAGACCCTTGGCGGGAGGATGCGGCACAACAGAGAGGGGAACCAGCATGGAGATCTGCACTGACCCACGGTTAGTGCTAGCAATTCGGTACCGGTAATGAGGGTGACCAGCAAGATGATAGGCTGGAGTTGGGGAAGATGGGCCTGAACCCACAACCACAGTGGTAGAAGTCCTCCCCTGCTGGTCCAAAACAGACTGGTGGGATCTGTTTGGGCTGGGTGATGCCTCTGGTCAGGTCACAGCAAGGGAAAAAAACAAGTCCCCAACCTGTGACAGGGCACACACTAATGTGATGAAGGCATTCGCTGGTTGACTGGCTCAGAGGAGAGAGGCCAACCCACACTGCCCCTGCACACACCTCACAGATCAACAGCAAACTGGAGAAGGCAGCAAACCCTTAGCCAGCATGCTTCAGAAGAACCATAAGCAATATGGAAAGGGCCTGAGACCTCCAACATACACCTGTCTGAAAGAAATCAGAAACATGACAAGAGAAACAAACAAGAAAAAGCCTACAGCCGCTGATCCAGGGAAAATAAGTCCTGGAGAGGTAAATACAAAAGAGATCGGGGGCAGCAATCATGCAATACCGGCCATAGCATCAGTGGAAATGAAGAAATACTTTTGTGACCTCATAGACAAACTTAAAACTGAAATTCTAATTCAAGTGAGGCAAGATATAAAAGAAATGCTAAGCATCTCTCAAGAAGACACAGATGGAAGAATGGAGGAGCACAGAAAATGGAGGGAAACTTTCAAAGAAGAATACAAACAGAATCTAGAATACATGAAAAAGATCCAAAGAGATTACCAGGAAATTAAAAACGCCATTGAAAGCTGGCAAAATGCCATGACAGAAACTAAAGTTAGACTTTCAGAATTTGAAGATAGATTTGCAATGTGTGATCACAAAAGAAAAGACCTCTTAAAAATAACAAGGAACCAGGAAGTAACAATACAAAGGCTAGAAGATAAAAAGAGGATCTATAACTTAAGAATAAAACACATGAGCGAAAAGCATGAGCAGGAGTAAACACAAATCAAATGCAAAGGCTATTTACAGAACTAATTAAGGAAACTTCCCAAGCATAGGAAAAGAAAATGATATCCAGATATATGAGGCATACAGAACTCCAGCCAGCTACAACCTAAAACAGATCTGCACCCAGGCATATAATAATCAAGATCCCAGAAATTCATCACACAAACAAATATTAAAAGTGGTCAGAGAAATGAAACAGATCACCTATAAAGGAAACCCCATCAAAATCACAACACACTTCTCCACACAACCCATCAAATCAAGAAGACCTCAGAGGAAAGTATTCCAAACCCTGAAAGAAAATAAACCACCAACCCAGAATGATGTACCCTGAAAAATTGTCTCTCAAAATTAATGGAAAAACAAGACATTTCCAAGACAAAGAGGAACTGTGGGAGTTCGTGACCACCAATCCAACCCTACAAAAGATATTGAATGACATTCTAGAGAGAGAAAAAAAAATACCAGGATTCTAGCAACAGTGCCAGTGAGTCTCAATGAACAGGGCAGACAGTGGAATGAAGGAGAAACGTAGACATCTAACAGCAGAAAAATAGCATAGCAGAGATGAGGTAGAGAAGATTGGCTATAATCTCTAACACAGATGGCCTTGATAGACTAACAAAATGAAACACAGGCAGAGTAGATTAAGAGACAGGGCCCATCAGATGCTCTAAATAGGAAACGTAATCAACCTGAAAGAGGATTAATGGACTGAAAGTCATCACAAAAATTCTAGAGCATATTGTTATTTTCAATAGAATTGTCTATATCATCAGGCATACTATAATGAACACAAAATGCTCTCTGTGACAGAGAACCAGAGAGAAATAGGGAAAGCTCATCCAGCAGCTACAGATAGGTTGGAAAATCATGACACTTCTGTGCAATGGAGAACTACTCAGCTTTAAGGAAGGAAAACCTTGAGGCCTTAGGAGGTCAAGGACTGTAGCTCAAAATCAAGCTCAGGACTAAAAAAGGTTCAGAACCACTTAGGTAAATAACAGGTTGTTCCCCTAATCTAAAACCTAAAGGAGTTAGTGAGACCCAAAATGTAGAAAGTACCTTGAGAAAGTGAAAGTGAAGGAACTGTCTAAAAAAGGCAGATGACATAATAGTGTATCAGGATTTAAAAGCTACCTTAGTCTTATCGCTGTTTAGTTTGATTTTATTCTGTTCCAGTCTGTCTACTCATACTAGGTTTGAGGGCACAGATATCTATTCCAAAAATAGCAAGATACACTACAGTAACTATCCTTAATTTCCTGTTAACTTAAACCGAAACCCTATATTACTTACACTGTCTTACTATGACTGATCTTATTTGAATCTGGTTTGTTAGATCGCTGTTTTGTCTTGACTGATTTTATTCAAATTTCTTATGCTTGATAGTATCAAATCTGAGAGTAGAGGCGATGACTCTGAAGATCACAAGATTTAATAAGGATACACATTTCAGTTTGACTATTAACTGCTTTTGAAGTCCTATAATGTCTCCAATGTTGTGTTTTTAATATTGCTATGTTCATTATACTATGCCTAATGATATAGACAATTCTACTGAGAGACATCAGAGTAACTATTGCAGATCACCTAGTATTGTGGTTTATAACTTTTTTGTATCTTGTTTTTCTAAGAATTTGTTTTGTTGTGTTGTTTTGTTTTTCCCTCTAATACAGAAAGGATAGGTATACGTGTAGAGATTCATGCATGCATAGAACTTCTAAATAGTTTACGAGAATTGATTACATAATGCACAATGCAATGAACAGATACTCTAAAGAAAGACACTAAGATACCCAGTCAGTGCCTCATCGATAGCGTCATGATATAAAAATCTAGCAATACTATTATTCTCTGTTCATATTAGTTTGTTTTGTTTAACTTCAACATACAAAAAGATATTGACAACTATTTTGAAGAGAATGAGAGACATTATTGACAGCCATTGTAAACTTCCCTATTGTCTGTTCTTGAAGACTTAAAATGCCTTTATTGGGGCTGGAGATTTAGCTCAGCGGCATAAGCGCCTGCCTTGCAAGCAGGCGGTCGTGAGTTTGATCCCTGGTACCGATAAAAATGAAAAAGACCAAAAAAAAGCCTGTACCATCCTGTTCTGACCCATTTAATACTATTTTTTTCAGTATGAATTCACTTTGTGTGAAGATATGGACAATTATTTGGAAGAAAACAAGAGACAATATGATAGACAGTAAAGATCTCTGGTGGTCTTGCTTTGAAATCTGTGTTTCTTAAATTATTTTCTTATGATCTGTTTTGTTCTATTCTGTTATGTTTAATTTTACACTCTTTAAAATAAAGAGCAGAATGCCAGAACAGAATTATATATGGTAGTTCTCCTTATTCACAGTTTTATTTCCTGAAGTTTCAGTTTTAATGATAGTACAAAAATTTGCATGGACGATTCCAGAAATAAACAATTCATAAATTTTTAATTGTACACTATTCTAAATGGTGTAATGAAATCTTTCACTATCCCATTCCCTTTACTCAGGTGGAGTAGAACCATCCTTTTGTCCAGTGTATCCGCATGATAAGCTACTTTCACATGAGTCACTTTAGCAGCTTGGCAATTTTATAATATTCTGTCATAATTATTGTACTTTTATTAGTTGTTAATATCATACCTTGACTAATTTATAAACTAAACTTTATCACAGGAATACATTTATGAAAATATATATAGTGTATTGTATATATATATATGCTCCATTACTGGGCATCTTGAAATATATTCCCTGCATATGAGGCAGGCTATTGTAA